TAAAATATTAAAATGTCTTTATTTATTGTTTTTTAATTATTATTTACATTGTTTTTTTTTGTTAAAGGAATATCTCCACTCATGTAATATAATTCATCGTGATTTAAATAGTTCAAATTGTTTAGTTAAATCCGATGGACATGTTGTTGTAGCTGATTTTGGTTTGTCAAGAATAAACCTTGAAGATGATGATGATATAACAACACAAATAAACGATAGTTCATCAATTAATTTTCGACGAGAACAACGAAGTACAAGTACAACAATAACATCAAATGGAAATGTTGTTGTTGTTAGACCTAAAACTCGACGTCAGTTATTAAGAGATCGACAACGGTAAATAAATCAAAATTTTCTACTATACGAGAAAGAAAATATCTATTGATTATTCTGTTTAAGATACACAGTGGTTGGGTCACCTTATTGGGTAATCATTTTCGATAATACAAAACAAAATTGATTACATATATATTTCCCTGTTTTTCTAGATGGCACCTGAAATGTTAAAAGGTCAATGTTATGATGAACGTGTAGATATATTTTCATTTGGAATAATGCTTTGTGAAGTAAATCAAATATTCTAACAAAAACAAAAACTGAATCTTTTCAATTAGATTATTGGGCGTGTACAAGCTGATCCTGATTATTTACCTCGTACACAAGATTTTGGTTTAAATGTACATTTATTTAATCAAAAATATTGTAGTAAAGATTGTCCAAAACAATTTATTGCTATAGCCATAGCTTGTTGCGACATAAATCCTGATTCAAGGTAATAAATATTAAAAAAAAACAATTTATTTATTTATTCTGTTTTCGTTTAATAAAGACCTGCATTTTGTGTATCTCATCCATGGCTTGAAGCACTTGCATTAAGTGTTGAAACAGGCGTTTGTCTATCTTCCAATTCGAATACAAAATCAGATCAAATCTCGAATGGAAATTAAATCTTTTTTTTTTTCAACAAGCAAATTAATCCCGGTGTTATTTACTTCTTTATATATATATCTATTCTGTTGATAATGCTGTCCAGTGCAAAAAAATTTATATCAGCATATAATAATTCCATGCTGTCAGAAAACTATTATTATAAATATTACTTCCTACTCTTTTTTTTTTTTTCTTTGTTATTATATTCTTGAAACTTAGATTTTTCCCCATCTTGTTAATTACAACGTTAAAAATACCCACAACATATAAATGTTGACAATTTTTTTTCATGTGTATATATTTATATATATTTTGTCTTTTACTCGCAGTCTTAATGCTTGCGTGTGTGTATACGTGTAATCTATTTTCATTTATTTGTTACAAAGGATAAGAAAAAAAGAAATTTCTTTTTTTAATACATAAAAAAACGAAAATGAAGATATGAGAACCATAATATAATTTTAAAGCGTTATCGCTTGTTGTTTTTTTTTCTTTTTTTTTCTGTTTTATCATGAATTAAAGGTCTCTTTAGACTTAGAACAAGACTCAGTAAAAAAAAAAGTAACAATATCACATGATTATACTCAGAACCACTCGATGAAGATTGATATTAATGAAGGAAAAAAAAACGAGAGAAGGGTTCGATGCCCAATCAAAAAGAAAGAGAGAATATATATATATAGAGTGCGTCATGACGAAGGAAAAAAGAAATAAGAGACGGCCCTTCTATTATTCTCTCTTTTTTTTCTGCTTTCTATCTGACGTTTTCTTATTCACTTTTTTTTCTCATTTTCTTTTCTTTCGTTCTTTCTAGAAGATATAAAAGGCGCTGCATAGACATAAACCCGCAGTGCGTAATCATTCGACTGTATTGTGTTGTATTGTTGTTGTCGTAGTGGTGTTTATGTTAAAACCATTTAACCATTACTATTGGAAATAAATTTTATTCGTCAATTATTTTTTTAAAAAAGAATTGAATTATATTATAATCATGCCGTGTATTGAAATTCAATCAAGTAGTGATGTGTAAGTATTTAGATTTTTTAATTTCATAAATGAAGATTTATTTATTTATTTATTTATTTTTTTTTTTACAGTATGAGTCGTTTTTGTCATCGGAACGCGGCCGGACCAACGTGGTATTCCTGATGTTGCCAACGGTAAAAAGATTTTTTTTTAAATATATTTTATACTAGAAATTATTTTTTTTTTTTTTTTTATTATTTAGCTGCTGCAGTCTTAACACCGAAAGTAAGCGCAGAGGGCGGCAGCGTTGGACGACGAGTATTAGCCTCGCGCCATCATGAATCACCTATCCAATCGTTAGAATTCTCTCAAGTTTGTTTTAATTATATTTTATTTTATTTATCATTAAAAAAAATTCTTTTTTTTTTTTATTTAATTTAGAAATTTGCTAATGATAACAATATATTTGATGGTGATGAAATATTAAAAAAGAGAAATGAAGAATTAAATGAGTTTATTGATGAACATGATCTTTTGTGGTCAATTAAATTACGTGGTGATTCTCTTTATGTAGAACTTCCTCAACAATTGAATGATGGATCAAAAGAAATGTAAGTTTACAATTAGACCAAAAACTAAACATAAAAAATTTTTACTTTGTTATTTTTCAAGGTTCATCAGTCTTCTAGAATTTGCCGACGATGTATTGCATTGTAAACATGTTATTGTCTATTTTAATAAAACACGTTCTGATCGTGCATCTTTAGTTAAAACCTTTATGTTTCTTGGTTTTCATGTTCTTTCACCTGGCAATACATTAATGGCAACCAATGATAAACAAGAAGACCGATTATACATGGTTTATATCATTGATAATGATGGATAATTTTTCTTTACTCATTATAATATATTGTTATCTATTAGCAACAAATTAATTTTTCCCATCCTTTAGGTCCTCTTTTTTTTCTCGGTTTTTCTTTCACTTAGCGATCAAATATCGAACGCTTTTCGCTCGCTGTGTCTTACTTTCATTCATTTATCTTATTTTGTGTTTGTCTGTCTTGTCATTTGTCTTGTTGTGTATTCTTATTATTTCTGTTGTCTTTTATTCATGAACAAAACAAAAAAAAACAAAAAAAAAATGAGATTTTCCTCTTGATTGTGCTTATTATAAATTAAGGCATTCGTTTCCATATAAAGATCAGCAAAAATTTTTTTTTTCTTTCTATTATTTTGATGTTCTTTTTTTTTGTCATTCGGCAAAGCCATATGTATTTACATTTGGATTTTTCTTTTTGATTGATGGGTTTTCGTTTGCTTCTTTCCCCCTTTGATATCTATCAGTTAGTTTAAGAGAGTTTGAAGTTTATGTCAGTATTTTATTCCATTATGTCTTCTATATATATTAATATATATATGTCGATTGAAACATTAACAAAATAAAATAACTAAAAATAAAGTTACTATTTTTGATATTAGTTTGAGCAGCAAAACTTTTAAAAAATGATAAAAGAACCTAAATAAGAATTATTGCAATTGGAAAAATGATCCTACTTCAATCAGTTCTATATAATTAAAAACTACCCAGGCAAATAAATCCGGCTGTCTATCTGTTATTCTAAACTAACGTGTCATTTTCTATATTCTTTATAAATAAATAATTCTTCTTTATTTTGTGGTCCTTCGAAACAAACGAACATTCATTAAAGAAAAAAAAGGAAAAATAAGCAGCTTTCTTTTGAAAATTATTTACTATTATTTCTAAATCATAGACATCAAATAAATGGAATCAAACTTGCAAAAACAAATGAATATCATGGAAATATGCATAAATAACTCGTAATTATTCATTTCTCTGCTGTTTTCTTCTCCTCAAATAGTTAAGTAATAAATTTAAGCGTGACGGAACATTGACAATGATTGCATGTGACCAAGAAAAAGAAAACAGAATGTTGCTGAATAATAATTATAGACGCATTCGTTTCGTTAAATACATTAAATATAATGAAGTGTAGCCTTAAATAATGCTCCTATTAACCTTTGACCTAGATTATTATTCTTCATCCCTTTGAAAATTTTTATTACTCATTTTTTGTTTTCACTTTTTTTGCTATTGTGCTATCGTTACCAATCAAGCTATGAAATGATTTTATTACTTCACTTGAGCCGTCTAATAGTTATTTTGTGAGTGAGAACCTGATAAGCTGTTGCTATTGACAAATAATTAAAGTACATTCTTTCATAATATGTCATTAAGCTTCAATAGAATACGACGTCAAAGGTCATAGTTGTTTTCTTAGAGATAAAGCACATTGTCAAAAATTCACATGAGTACTAAGATATTTGTTCTAGACGAAAAAATATTTGCCTATTTTATCATTTGAATAATCGTTATTTTTTGATTTATCTTTTGTGTCTTTATTTTTAAAATGTCAAAAAAAAGAAAAAAAACGCAAATGATATTTACAATTAGTGATGCATTAGAAATAATTCTCCAGACGTCACCTATGGGAATCGAATCAATTTCCTTCACATGCTTCCGTCATGTAGAAGAGAGTTTTTTTTCTTTTTATTAAATTAAGAACAAAAATTTTTTCCTTTAACAGCCTTCTAAAATAGAAAAATGAACTTCCAGAATTTCACACATGAAAAATGCTAAATCAATTTATAAGAAGATAAAAAACAGAGGAAATCAAAAATGTCATGTCGATCATGTTAAGATATTCATTCTTCTTCCACACTTAAGTCCATTCTACGTACATAAAAATTAATTGAATGGGTTGTCAAAAACAACGTTGACATCGATAAATTTCTTCTATTGATCAAGTATAATAAAATTTGACTTAGCAAAATTTGTCTTTTTTTTTTGATAGACAATCGTATGTTATTTAGATATATATATATAGAACAATATAAAACATCATGTGTCCGATGTGACATCTACAAATTGATCTATCTTTTGTACTAAACTATACGATCCAAATAAACAACCTTAATCAACCGAATCGTGTTGTTTTTTAATACAAAGAGGAAAAAAAAATGTCAAATGCAATCATACTCATGAAAAGACATGCATATTTTATCTTAGTGTGACAAAATAAAACATGACAACAAATGTTCAACAAAGTAAAATTTTCGAAACATTTTCATTCATATGGCTTAATACACTAATTAATGATTCAAGCGAATGCATTAAAATACAAGAATGTTTACGAACATTTATTCATGATTTCAAAACATTTCAAAATAATGATAAATGTATTCAATATATTGAATCATTACCAAACGATCGTTTTGTATTAATTATTAATGATCGTCTAGGAAAAAAAGTTATTTCAAATGCGCATAGTTTACGACAAGTTTATTCAATATATATTTATAGTTCAGATAACGTAACAAATAAACGTTGGATTAAGCGCTATCCAAAAATTAGAAGTTTTATTGTTAAATTCGATGAATTAGTATCACAAATACGTTCTTATCACGAACAATCAAGTCAAATAAAAATTAATGAACCATTCTCAATAAAATTTTTTTGTAAAAATAGTGAAAATAATGAATTGAATGATAATTTTATTTATTCAAAATTATTAAATGATTATCTTGTACAGATTAAACCAATATCAAATCGTCAGAATGAATTAATATCATTATGTAAAGATGAATATAAAGAAAATGAAAATGAATTAAATATTATACGCGAATTTGAAAATAATTATTCATCTAATCAAGCATTAGGGTGGTATACAAGAGACGTATTTGTTTATCATTTATTAAATAAAGCCGTTCGTACACAAAATATTGATTTATTATTAATATTTCAATTTTTTATACATGATATTCAACGATTTATAGAAGAAAATAAATCTACAAAATCTCTATATGTTTATAGAAGTTATCTAATGTCAAATGATGAAATTCAATTATTTAAAAATTCTATAGGAGAATTTATATTAATAAATGAATTTTTTCTAACAAATCTTCATCGACAACAAGCATTATCTTATTTATATAATAATAATAATATAACGAATAATTATGAAAAAGTTCTATTTGAAATTTCTGCTGATGGACATATTAATTCAAATAAGTCTTATTGCAATATAACTTCATTTAATAATTATTCAAATGAAGAAAAAATACTTTTTACATTAGGATCAATATTTCGTCTAGTTAATATTCAACAACAAGATCATGAAAAAATTAAACTATGGATTATTCGAATGAAATTATCAAATGATAAGCATAAACGACTTAAAATTTTATTTGACAATATAAAATATCAATATAATATGGAGCAAATGAATTTTCTTTCATTGGGAAAAATTTCAAGAAAAATGAGTAAATTTCATGATGCCGAAAAATTCTATCGACGTTTATTAAAAGAATTACCATATGATCATTCAAATATAGTTGATTGCTATTATAATTTAGGAATTATTATGGATGAAAAAGGAGATTATCAATCAAGTTTAGAATGGCATGAAAAATCAATTAAAATTAAAAAACAAACATTAAAAATGAATAATCCAAGTATCGGCTATAGTTACAATAGTATAGCTAATGTCTATCAAAAAAAAGGTGATTATAAACGAGCATTAGAATATTATAATAAAACCTTAAGTATATGGGAAAATGTTTTTGGTGAAAATCATCCTGATATTGCTATGTGTTTAAATAATATGGGTTGTGTATATGAAAATGAAAAGAAATATTCAGAAGCACTTGAATGTCATCAAAAAGCTTTAGCAATAAAAAATTTTCATTTACCTAATAATCATCTTAATTTAAGTGCAACACATAACAATCTTGCTACTGTTTATGGTTGTATTGGTCAATTAGATTTGGCATTAGAACATTTTAATTTATCATTAAAAATTAAATTAAAATCTCTTCCAATAAATCATCAGGATATAGCATTGACATATAAAAATATTGGTCTTATTTATGAAATGAAAGATGATTTTTCAAAAGCGAAATTATTTTATGAAAAAGCAGCTAGTATTCGTCGTCATATTTTTTCATCAACACATCGTGATATTATTCAAATTGAACAAGATATAAAACGAGTTTTGATGAAAACTAAATAAAATATGTACTTATGAAAGAAATTTCGTATTTCATATTTCTTCATAGTTATTTCATTCGACGCATATACCTGTCTTTGTGTTGATAACAGAAAAGATTAAAAAATGACGAAGATATTTTATGATTCATGATATATACAAACATTTTTATCATTTTCATTCTATGACATAATTCACATTTTGCATGCATCTTATTTCGCAGTATTATGTTGCGTAATCAACTAATAATATCAATTTCTTTTTTTTCCACATTTCAATAGATGTTTTTAACATAATGAATAATTGATGATATCTTGATGATTAAATAAATTATATTATATTATGTTAATAATCATTAAATAAGAGAACATCAATTATTTTATATGAAGTTTACAAATACTGTATCCATACCACTTGATAAATCTTACATAATACGTAGTTAAAGAGAATGACAGTCAACTATCAGCTTGAACTTCAACATTTTGCTTTGATTCTCGGCAAAAGAAAAAGTATATTTCGTATTTCTCATTCTATGAGACATGTTTTCTGCACTAATTAAGTACGTTTTTTCTCGTCAGTTATGTCTTACTATGCTAAAAAGTATACAGATGAAGAAAAATATCCATGCCTTTCGGCTAGTTTGCGGTACAGGATGCTGTCTAACGATGGGTTCAATAGCTCGATATTTTCCCTACAACTAATATTAACTGTAGCTCTGAACAGAAAGCCAGCTTGATGCAGAGTTTCGTTGCTTCAGTTCTCCATTCACACTAGTAGTTGCAAGAACAAGTGCATGTCGCAATGTAGTGAGCATGCTATCGAACGAGTGATCCGAGACAAAAACATCCGTTAGTGACCTGTCCAGGGTCGTTCCATGGTTGGTGAAATCGAGATTTCAATAGAGTACCCTGTGGATACGTATCTACCAATGTAGGCACCTACGAGGAAAGTCCTCCAATTGTCCAATCGCTTTTGATTCGCAACTATCTGCACTATGTAGATTCAAATGAGATACGAATATTCTGAAAAAATTTTGTGGCCTTAGCTTCTTGTTGAGGTTCTTCAGAAACATTGAGAAAACTGATTTTTGAATTTTGACTTTCAACTTGGCGCAGAGACAGATCTTAACGAGAATAATATCGTGTGAAAGTTTCAGATTTTTTTTTTATTGCTTCTATCTTACGATACAACTGTGCTAATAGAGTGCGTATCTTTTACATCGTTCATATAAACCGGCAGCTTTGGTATTCTTATTTCAGGATAGAAGCAAATCAGAAGATTTGAGAACTTTCGCAATAAACCGCTTTTGTTAAGACTCGTCTCTACAGAAAGGTTAAAGTCAATATTCGAAAAGTAATTTTTCTGGTGTTCCTGAGAAGAACCACAGCATCTTTTTAAAAATACGATTAAAACGTGGTATCTCCGTAGAAATGAACTCTTTTCAGGGTTTTCATAACTATTTGAATTTACATAATGCACATAGTCTCGACGCAAAAAAGTGATTGAACAATTGGACAACTTCCCTCATTAACTGTGGCTGCAGGGTTGTCAGATCTTCCGAAATAGTAGGAAAAATTCCAAACTTTTACCAAGTTTTTATATTTGACTAGATTCGGGCTTTTGTGAGTGTGATTATAACTTCGAAATAGAGGTCTAAACAGGCCACATTTTGAGGCCTGTGCCTTCACAGGCAGCCCATCTGGCCTGTCTACTTTTTCTACAAAATCGAAGTTTCATTTGAGAATTTCATGATTTTGTTAGCAAATAGATACAACCTTCATTAGTTTTCAAAAAAATTACATTTAAGCGCGGTGAATCAGACAAATACTGCAGAATGAGTATTAAAGATACTTATAGGAGATCAATATCCTTACCATTCTGAAGAGAAGATGAGCACAAATTTTCATAGTTTTCATAATCTACTTGTCATATTTCTCAATTTTAGTTAAATTAAATGGTTCTAAATTCTTTTTTCTGTTGCAGATTTACCACTGATTGAATTCTGTTTCTCTCTTAATTCCGATACTTTGAGTGACATTGTGATCTGGCATAAGAAATTCAATGAAAATATTTTTGAACAAAAATCAGATATCTTCCACAAGTTGACTATCTTAGCATTGTTTTTATTTTATCTACGTATTACCAATGCTCAGTTCGTAAACTCTTAATCAGTAATGAAACTTTTCAACGTATGTTGGTACCTGTGAATTGTCAATATCCACAGACATCACCAACTCTGAAAAAGGATAGAGTTCGAAGTTGATATTATTTACACATCCCTACTGCGTCGCGCATTTTTTGATTCAGCTGAAGGATAGCCTTTCTTTTAGATACAGGCAGCCATAATTACTTTCCTTTTTACTTATACAAGGCCTTAGAAAATTAAAAATCGGATGGTCCAGAAGATATAAATAGCTTTTTGTGCGAAATTTTACTATTTATATAATGTTATTAATTGTCATCTAACTTCATGTTGAAAGATATATACCGTAAAATTCTCTTCAAACATTCTATATAATGTTTTGTTACAAAGTATAAGAAGAGAAAGCTACACGAAAAAATATTCAAGGTCTCCGAAGCTACCAGCTTTCTAAAACACGATGTAGCATTCCTTAACTTTTTGCTAAGCGGCGACAAAAGTATAAGCATATATCAAATTAAATTTTCTGATGCTGTGACGAATGCAGATCTAGTCTTTATAAAAGAAGTGATGCAAAAAGTTGATTCTAGGTTCAGTAACATCATACGTATTTAATCAATTAGGAATCGATAATGAATTGACTTTGATTTGCTTTTATTGTAATCGATTCGCTATCAATTGACAATCGATAAAATAATAATGATTTTAGTCATTTAAAATGGATCTTTTCTAACTTTTACATGAATTACTTTTTACATGAAAGTGTGTCCGCAGTTTTTACAGGTAGGCATTGTAGCTGTCTCTTTAATGAAGTTANCGATAATGAATTGACTTTGATTTGCTTTTATTGTAATCGATTCGCTATCAATTGACAATCGATAAAATAATAATGATTTTAGTCATTTAAAATGGATCTTTTCTAACTTTTACATGAATTACTTTTTACATGAAAGTGTGTCCGCAGTTTTTACAGGTAGGCATTGTAGCTGTCTCTTTAATGAAGTTACTTGCTTATTCAGAACGATGTCAATTTTCGCTGAGCGATTTTGACTAGAAATCGATCGTTCTTTCGAGGAAACGTTTTGTAAGTAAATTAAAAACTATGCTTTTTTATACTCCGGCTAACTAGAAGTATCTTTGGAAATGAAGTCTTTGTTCTACCCTTAGTTTCACATGCTCTCAATTATAAAGAAGCATGATACCTTTGTTTAATTGGAAAGCTGACAATTCTCATGTACTTTTCAATTAGAGACTTTTCAATGTAGCGATGCAGATTGAATTCAGTGACTAATACGACTTTTTATGAAGATTATTACCTCTTTCTATGGTATTTTTATCATGATATTGACGTGAAAAAAAATACACAGGCCTAGACAGGCAGGCCAGGCCGAGGAAATCAGAGAACAGGCACAGGCAGGCTAGGAGGGGTGTAAGCCTGTCACAGACAGGCCAGGCCTTCAAAAAGTGGGCCTGTTTGGACATCTGCTTCGAAATTAACTCTTTCCAACTATTAATACACCTTCGTTATACTACTGTAATCACTGATATATGAGCTAGCTCAATAGAACATTATAAGAAAAATAAGAAATCAGCTAAAATAGTCAGTTGTCAAGTGCTCTATCCACTATCATAATACAATGAGATAGTCACTGATTTTAGTCACGCTGAATGCATATATCTAATGCATATCTAAGGATAAAGGAATCATATGTGTAAAATATATCTATTGGTAGTTCAGATTATACAAATGAGTACTCTATAGTCATCTAAAATGAAAAAGTCACATATGGTAGTCAACCTTTATCAGATAAGCAGAACTTGAGGGCATATTCGACAATGGTTTGATGATCAAATTTTCATCATTTTTAAAGCTTTCATTTACAAGTGTTTTGATTAAAAAAGGTTTTCAAAAAGTTTTGCTCCTTTGTGAACGAGATGAAATCAAAATATTTTAAGCAGTGAAAAACGAAAAACACAAAAATATGATTCTTGTGCATAATTTTTAGCAAATTGTTTTTGGTGATTTATTTCACTAAAACGAGGTCTAAAATAAAAGTGAAGATCATATTCGAATTCCTCGTGAAAATTTACATCAATTGATATTAAACTTGATCTGGATTTCGCAAGAATTTGAATGTCATATTAGTCATCAGTATTCGCTGACTACATAATATTACTCATCTATATTGTATTAGCCATTTTCTCCAAAAGCTGAACTGCTTGATATGGTGGCGTACTACTGTATTTGATAGAATATCACTTACTCTGCAAACTTAGAAGCTTTCATGCAAAATGAAACTAGTCTTGCTTTGAAGCTCCTCATCCTCCTCTCACACAGTCTCAAATGACTTTAGATATAAATACTATACTTAAAAACGTAGGTTCACTATTTTAGTCGAATCAAAAACATGAAGACTACTGTTGTATTGAGGTTGTACAACAGGTGACGTTCTATCGAATTTGCTATACCATCCTATTCAGCAATTTGACTGTCTATCAATAATTGCCGATACTAGATGGATAGGTAGTATTGTGTGGTCGATAAACTATCAGAACATCTATAAGATTCAAATCTTTTCGAAACTGAGCTAAATTTAATATGGTTTTCTGAGCCTTTTCGAGAGGAATACAAGTATGGTTTTTGTTCTTATTTTTGGTGCGATTTTTTTTTGGTGTTTTTGGTTTTCCAATGCTTAAAATATTTTCAATCTGTTTTCATATAAAATCTGTGATCATTTTTGTAAGCATGCCTGCAGTTCCAAAGCATGTCCTATCCGAAAATTGGACTTTTTTTAAATTTTTATCGTGGTCAATCTTAAGAAATTCAAAGTAGAAGAATTAAATAATTATTCTAATAGTATATGGACTACGATTGTTACTTCATCACACTATTATCCGATATGCTACTAAATTCTACATACGTGAGAGATGTTAAGCACAACATGTGACTTCTTTACTAAACGTGACTATAAGGTAGCCGTTTGCATTGCCTTATTTACCAATAGAAACACTTTGGATCAATGATTATTATTTGATACTTCCATAGACACTAAATATATATATCTAACATGACTAAAACCTTATAGTAAATCATTATATTTTAATGCTAGACAGTACATTAGAAAATAAGCTATTTTTGGAGTTTTTGTATTTTTTTTTCATCATTTCGCATCGGTCAAATTCCTATATCGATAATATAAACAAGCGGATACAGTGATATACTGAAGCTGCTAATTTAGTACTATATGCATATATAAAAACTCCAACTTGGGTTTATAGTTATAAGAAATAGCCAATGCCTCAAAATGATGAACAATACGAATATTTTTACTAAAGGTATTAAGGTAGTAAGGCCTTGAGTTGTCGGAAGTTTCAGCTTGGTCGATGAAGGTTACCGTAAATGTGAGAGATTTCCCATGAAACTACCCTATTAACAATACACACTCTCTTAAATCGAGAGCTTTTCCAAACTCTACTGAATAAAAAAACTATTTGATTAAACAATATCATCAATAAAAACTAAGCTTTAAATTTAAGAAGATATTGTTTTTATGGTAAGTTTTAACATGTCAAACTTAATTGGATTCAAATGCGAGTATAGGTAAGACTGAAAAAGATAAGAAAAAACCTAGCAAAAATAAGCACAATTTTAAGAAGAAAATGAAATATCCTTATACATAAAGTCTTACTAATCTATTAATATTATCATCGATTCATTAGATAGATCAATTGATTAATAAAGATTTCCATTGGAAAATTTTCTTTTTAACATACAAATTAATTAAATAATTTCTTTTGTTCAATATCTAATATTCATTTTTGAGAAAAAAAGCAAAATTCTTTATATACACGATAAATGTTTCATTTCGTTCGTTTTCTTTTTTTTTAATATTCATATTATTATAAATAAGAAACACACAAAAGGCAAATAATATATATATGTATGTGCGAATGAGGTTATAGTAATTTAATGTCGCACATCATCGATATGATCACTGTGTGTGAAGGTAGATTTAAAGAAACAAGAAAAAGAGAGAAGAGGCAAGGAATGACAAGACAAGACAATAATACACACACACAAACACACGAAAGAAAACTGAAGTTCGTACATTTATAATTTTTAAAGAAATTGCCATTCGAGTGCATGAATAAGTGCTGTAAGATTTTGATGTTCACTAACACGCCAGAATGGCCATGCGAGCTAAACAAATACAAAAAAAAAACAATTTCAATAAATAAATTATCTTTTTGCTTGAACTGACTTGTTTAGCTGCTAATTCTTCATCACGTCCATCACCAACAACAACATATGTTGGTTTTCGACCAAATCTTGTATGTATACGTTCAAAACAACTTTCTTTACCAATTTTTGTCGCACTATATATATTCTCTATATCAAATAGACCACCGAGTCCATATAAAATAACTTTTGATAATGCGGGTACAAGTTGACATGTTGTTACAAGAACATTAATACAATTTTTTCTAAAATAGAACAAACAAATTAAAGAATAAAATTTTTTTTTTTTTTTGTTTTTCATTTACCGTTGTTTTATAATATTTAAGGCTTTAATTGCTAATGTAAGCCATGATCCAGTTAATGCTTCAATATCAACACGTAATTGAAGTAATTCTTCATATTTTTGTTGACCAAGTAAAGCTAATTAAATAATTAGAATATTAAAAAGAAAAAAGAAAATTTGAAAAATAGACAAAATTTTACCTTGTGCATTTGTTCGATATGTATTATAAATTTCCTTTATACGTCGATAACGAAATGCTAATTTACGCATCCAATCAACTCCACCACGAACAGTACTACTTATACATGGATTATTAACATTCGTTGATGAATGAAAACCATCAGCAGCAAAACTATAATTACTAAATGAAAAATAAATATATTTTTTAAATGATTTGTCATATATCAAATGATTATTATTGACTCGTTCTAATCTTAGCTCAAGCGAGCTTTAATTATTTCATGTGACGAAATCGAATATTTAATATATGATTCTGAGAAATATTATTTTAGCTTAGATATGAGCAGATGTGCATGACAAAAATTTAAAGTTTTTTCGAGACTACAAGAAAAAAATTGTCTCAATCGAAATTGAAGATTATAGTTAACTATTCTATAATTTTAAACAAATTATCGTATCAGTCGGAACATAATTCAAGAGAAATGACCTCAAAAAAATGTATTACGGAATAACTCAACAAAATAAAAAAATAAAACAAGTACTGAAGAATTTTATTGGATGTAATTACGAATAAATTCTAGAATAGTTTTTTCTCTCGAACACAATCAAAAACCCTCGACCCCATACAACTATAGTTCGAACTGAAGCGAAAAACTTTGAAATCATTCATGTTACAATGATCTTCTATATTAGACAGTAAATTTATGGCCGAATAGCTCAACATTATTTTGATTGTAACATCGAATTATTTCAATTCGATTGTTCTGATAGCAAAATTTACTGAAAAACAAATTAATCTGAATTTTGACGAACTTTTTCTCTAATGAAAGAAGTCTGTCAACTGATAAGTCACTTTGGAGTCGAGACTATGTACACTATGTAGATTCAAAGAAGCTATGAATGGTCTGAAAAGAGTTCGTGCACTTAGCTAAATTCTACGGAGATCACTGCACTTTTACAGTAGTTTTTAAATGAATGCCGTGATTTCCCTCAGATAGTGCTCGTCTTGTTGATTCAGCTTTGAAAACTCTTCATTAACCGTCGTTTAGAAATTTTGGACTCGACAGACTCAACTCTTAGAAACGCCATGATAATTGACTTTCGAATTTCTACTTGAAGCTCCTATCCGGAAATAAGAACATCAAACCTTCCCAGTCTATATGAGCAATGTAAAATATACGCTTATATCATACTTGTATCTTAAGATTGAAACAACGAAAAGATCTAAAACTTCTACAAGAGACTATTCTCGCTAATCTCTATCTCTATAGTAAGTTTCAAGTTGAAACTCGCATATCAGTTTTCTCAGTGTCCCTAAGGAGCATCACAACATTCATATAAACACTACCGTAAAAGTCTAGAATCTCTCCGCAGCAAAATCAATTTATCAGTATGGCAGACACTTATCGTAAAAAGACAATCGGTTGCCGAAATCATTTTACACATTAACATATAAATACAAATTTGAATAATTCTTTTTTGTTTTGTTTTTCTATCTACCTTAAATCTTGTCCATTATCATCGGATGAAACATCATCAATATGAACTTGATCACATTCTTCAAGATCATTAAAAAATAAATGTGCATCAGCTAAATTAAAAATAATTTCTTCGATACGTAAACCAAGTGACATTGCTGTTTGAGCATCCTATAAAAAGCAGAAAATTTAAGCTCAATATAAAAGAAGCAAATCAATTTACTTTTTGATAACGTTGAGCATATGTGCCTGTCAATAATGAATGTAAAATAATAATTGTTTCATCTAAATCCCAAACAAATATTCGTTCAATATGATTATCTGGATCAGGTGATGATTGTTGTTGTTGTTGTTGGGTTTTATTTCTTCCACGATTATTTTTAGATTTTGATGCTAAAAAGAAAATTCTGTTTAAAAAAAAGCAATCATTCTTTGTTTTCTTACATCGTGCACTAGTTTCAGTTTTAATTGAAGGTGAAGGAGAATTCGGTGATGAAAGTACACTTGGATTTGAATAATGATTTTGATGATCAAGTATGGTCGGTGGAATAGACTCAACTTGATATCCTTGTGAATTTTTTATTGATGATGCTAATTGATTAGGTGATGTTGTTGATGAATTAAGATTATATGGTGAAGGATAAGCAGATGTTGAATAACATGGATAACCAAGTGATGGTTGAAATTGATGATAATAACTTGCATCAAGACCCTTTTAAAATATAATATAGATATATATCAATGTGTAATTATGGTGTTTTTTTTTTTTATCATACCGATTGAGTACCGTATGGTGATGGACTAGCTAAACTATTTGTAGATGAAGCAGCAGTTGTTGAATAAGCTTTTAGAGATAAAAAAAAAATAAATTCAAAAAATTCAAAAATATTCCAAAATTACTTTCAGTTAATGGATATTGAAAATTTAAAGCTGAATATCCAGTTGGTGCTGTATTATAATATGGAGGTATATTGACATATCCCGGCGATGAAAACGAATAACTCGCCATCGACGGTTGACTAAAATAAAAATTCTTAAAAAATATAAAATACCATCTAGAAACTTCCCAAAGCCAAAGAAAAAAGAAAGAGATTCATCCCTATCCTGCACTTCTTACCCTTTTTTAATTTTCTTTTAAACATAATTAAAACGTGCAAGTATGATTTTCTCTATTCATAGCACAAAAAACTCATAGGTCTAGCATCAATACATGACAAGGTACCTTCCTTTTTTTGTGTTTGAAGAGGAAAAAACTATCTGATTACTTGCACGAGTGAAATCTTACCTTTATTCCTTCTGAAAGAAGAAAGAAAAAAAAAAAAGATAAAAGCAAACGTTCGATAGAGAACGATATTTTTTCTCTTCTTTTTTTTTTTTTTCTTAATAAAACAAGAACGAATCAAAAAGAAGAGAAACAAAAAAAAATAGTTTTCTTTTGTTTGTACCTACCCGTCGAATATCGTCGGGTTGTGTTGATTATAGTTATTATTATTCGTCGTTGTTTTTGTTAAAAAATTGTGTTCATCATCTAAACATATGAAATATTTTCCCAAAATAAAATCTAATCTTTTTTTCTGTCTTTTGTTCTAGACATAACATTCAATATATGATTGAAAATGATTATTGACCACTTGTCTGTCTGTCTATTCTGATTTATTAACAATTTTGTTATTCACGTGAATCTGTCCATTTAACAATTTAAAAATAAGCGACACATGTTCGATAAGTTTCATATTACTGATTAACTTTTTTTTTTCTTTTTCTTTTCCTACCGTTTGATGATCGTCTACGTTTTGATACAACAAGATCAATTGGAAAAGATCTAAAACAAAACAAAGACAAATTTTTAAATATTAAAATAATTTCTACTTACTCCGAAGAATCACAGTTTGTTTTAATGAATTTAATTGTAGGCTAGAATAAGAAAGAAAGAAAAAGACATCACACTGTTGGGAAAAAATGTGAGAAAATCAGCATCTTGCTGTTAATGATGTTATATAGTTACAATTATTTTCTTTGATGATTATGTCTGACACAAAAAAATAATAAAATAAAAGTCTAAAATCTCAGCATGATTAAATTTATCTTATTCATTAAGAACATTTCTATGGGTACAAAATATGCAAATGAGTTATTGATAAATAGATTCTTTCTATTTATCCCCTAAGCGAACATTTCCGTTTTTTTTCTCTTTTTCTTCTTCTATGTTCACCTCTTGTCTAGACAAAGCAATCGACCGTACTAGAGTGTAAAGTATAAGATCGACATGTAATCCTTCTTTCGTTTCTATTTGGTTACCATGTGTGTTTGAGTAAGCATTAAGGAAAATCCATCTTCTCCGCCCCTGCTGGTGTGAAAACATTATTTCCGCTCAATTATGCATTTGTACACACACTTACTCTCTTTCCTTTTTTTTTTTGTATACATATATATATGTATCTATCACACTTTTATATATATGCATACACAAAACACCTCGGGCCCGACATCATCATCATCATCGTTGTGTCCTTGATTTGATTCGGAATCTAAGATTACGACGAGTTGCCATTTCGTTAGTATATACAGGTATGTGTTCCGCATAATGGACTCGTTCGGCTACAACAACGGGTGAGTGTCTGTCTGACTCGATAGTTACATAGTGAAAGGCATCAAAGGACAGAACGACAGTATATAATTTGTTTGTTTGTTTGTCGATACGTGTGTCTGTATATGTTGGCATCATCATCAATATATACAATAGATTTGACTGACTCTATTGTTGACACAACTGAAGAGAGTTTGCTTTTTTTTGATGTTCAAAAAGAACGGACACATCAACTTAATGTGTATATTCATCACAGCGGCGTTAAAAAAACAACTAAACTGTCAATCATTTCTCTTACGTCTTACATATGAATGAAAACAAAAACAAGAATTCTATTGAGAATTTATTATAAAAACTAATTTAATGATGAACAAGAAAAAGAACAAAGAAATCGATGAAATTTTTCTATGATTAAAACTTGAATTAAATAACATTTAGGTCATAATGCTTCATTACTACTTCTCACATTCAATGACAATGAATATATGGATATCAAATTCGATCCACCCAGTTTGATGCATCGATATCATCTTTTATGTTTTCTTTTTACATACCTATCTTTTTTCTGTTTTTGTGAGTTTCGATATGTCAATACTAATTGAGTGATGACGACGACGGCGATGGCGAAGACGATAAGCAGTAAGATCTTGAGTAAGTATAATACAGAAATAGAAAAGATGAAGAAAAAGAAAAAGAAAAAAAGAAGAAACAGAGGAAAAGAAACACATAGGCGCATCCTTTATTGCCTGATTGGTTGGTAATTTTATCGTTAAGCATTCTAATTGGTCAGTTAGGCGTGTTTTTTTTCTTCTTCTTGCTTTTCTACTACTGATGATGATTTATTATTTAGTACACAAATTTTTCTTTTTTTTTGTCTATTACATACACATCAGATTTCTTCTCGACTTTTTCTTCGGTTCCGTCCCACTTTTCTCATTCAACTGCTAAGATGACGACAACGTAGTAGATCAAATTTCAAACATGCAAGCAGGCTAAAAAAAAGAAAAAAAAACGAGAGAGACAGAGAAAGACATTCGATCTAGTCTGTTCTTTTGCTATTGCTAGTGTAGTACCATTTAGGATAAGATGATGAAGCAACGATGATGATGATGATAATGTGTATACATTGTAATTAAAACGTCACCCACTCGTGTGGGTATTCACGCTTAGAATTGTAATAGAAAAAAGAAGAACGGGCCGATTACCATGTCTAATCATAGAGCGGCAACTAGCGAATGGCACAAACATACACAGCAGGTGCACACATACAAAAGATAAAACGAGAGAGCATGTACGCATCATTTGAAAATCAATTATGATCTTTGTATGAGAGTTTGTCGGTGGAATTAATTTTGTGATCTCTCTCGCTTTTTCAAATCATTCTTATCAGACGAATGTTTTTTTTTGTTTCATTTTAAATCGTCAAGCATATTCAAATTGAACAGGTGTTCAGAAGAGAGAAGAGAAAAAAAAAGGATCCTCAATTAGACAGTGAGAGACACACTTCTCTCTCACTCTCTCTCTCTCTCTTCTAATCATCAATGCTACGAAACCTGATCTACTTCAAATAGACAGGAGGGTTTGAAAAATGCAAAAGTTTTTTTTCTTCTGTCTTTTTCTCTCTCTCTCTCTCTCTTTTCTTTTCGTGATAAGTGGCATGAGAAAAGAGTGCACCTTCATCGATCGTATGTTGTTAAATATTGGCGACAAAGCACACCACTTTCTCTCTTTCCATTGTTTTGTTTGGATTTATCAACATTCGATATGTCTTTGTGTGCATTGTATATGTAGGCGATCAGTGAGAGCAACAATGATCTGTTTAAATTCAGAACTAAATGAACTTTGTTTGACAATCGACATATATACATATATATGAGATATAAAATTTGATTAGTTTTATGGATTAAAATGAAATTTATAGAAAAAAATAAAGATAAAGTCTAGACTTATTGTAGAAATTTAAATTTATTTTAATCAATACTTTATTTGGTAATTGATTGTTTAAATAGAAAATAATTATTCAATGTGATTAATAATAATATAAAAGCATTTTTGTATGGAAGAAATTTTCCTAGAGCGACATCTTCAAAATTATTTAATATCTATCAGACATCTACAAGCAAATATGTATTGGAAAGGTTTCCATCATTAAATGACAATTATACACAATTATTCTTATCTATTATTGCTAATTAATACTTTATCAAAAACTTTCAGAGGATTTGTTTTTTAAAAGATTTTCTCGAAACACCACTCTTATTCCTATCGTTCTATTAAAATATTTCTTTGATCAGTTTTTTAGCATCAGTATTTAGTCAAAATGTATAATTTATAAAATTGAATCATATGTATACTTACTGTATGTATTCGAAGTTTACAATTTGACATATTGGCACATGTAATATTTGTCTGTTTGTTGTTACAGTCGTTCATTGATATTCTATTGACAACTAAATATGATTCATATTTTGTAATACACAAAAAAAAAGGTCTATAAAATCATCATTATGTTCTCACTTTTCGATGATCTATCTTATTGAGAATCGGGGAAAAAATACAACGTTTCTTTCTTACATCACACAATATTATATCTGTCTTTTTTTTTCTTATATACTAGCCTAACAGCATATGTCTCAGTGATGCCAATCACTTTTTTCTCATCTTGTTTACTTGCAGTGATCATTGTTCGTATCATCAATGATTCCGTGCAGTGTACGGACGCGTCTTGTTTGTATTACTCTTTTTCTAGCAACATGCCATTTGAATTTGTACTAACATAATTCTATGTAGATCTATGACGCTAGAGAAAAAAAAAAGAGTATATAGATAATCATAATTCAGCTTGTGATATCGTATATAATGTAGAATAGGAAAGAAAAGAATAAACCGCTAATCATTGCTTGTATTGTCACTGATAATCTCTCTTTATATCTCTATAGACGTATGCTGCATCCAAGGATTGATGGAAGAAAATAATAACAATCTTTATTGATGAGAATGCTGGTGTGTTTATACAAGACATTCTAGTGATGCATACACATGTGCATGTGTCAAAATTTGATTTACTTGAATGGGATACGGGTAATAGATTGGACACAACGTGCACTTTTGTAATATATTTGCTAATCATTGTAATAAACAAAAGACAGATGAAAAAAAAAAAATTTTTTTTGTTTTTAGAAAATGTTAAAGATCAAACTTTTTATATATTGCAATGAAAACAAAAAGAAAAATATCTTTGTAAGAAGTGTAGCTTTGAAAACCTTGATGTGTTTTCTTCTTGGCAAACTATGTTATTTTTCATACTTTTGACTTATGTTTTTTTGTTTCGTATTAGATATTCAGGTGAATTATTCATTGTAAAAATCTATATTTAAAAATATTAATTTAACATGTTGATAAACTAATTTTATCTTCTAATGTGGTACATCCATGTTTCCTGAAGATTTGTTTTGACATTCATATTGACTAATGTATATATTACTGTTTATTGAAAAGATCTCACATGATGCACGAACACTTTCAATCGAAACGATCTAGTTATCAGATGACAAAAGCCTATAAAAATAAATTGTTTTTTTTTTTTAAATATTTATCTAGTTGTTTCTTTTCGTTAGACTGATCTACTTGATGCATAACATGCACCATTTATATAAATCTCTACATCGTATAGAGCTAGTCAAATATCAATATCAGAAATTGGTATAATATAGTTCTTTTTAACGTTAAATAATCCACACTTTTTTCCCCTTAACAATAAGTTATTTATTATATTTTACACGTTGTATCTAAATTAGAATATTTGTAACATACAAAATTTTAGCAAAATTGAACAACAAGATTTGTAAATGTCTTGACATATTCATTCATTATGTCGTCTTTCTAACAACAATCGGTTCTACCATTGCCGATGGGAATGATATTTCTTATTTTATAGGATCCATTTGTTTTCTTTTTTTTCTTCCTATTATTTATACATATTTATTTAATGAATCCAAAAACTTGATTATTCGATTGAAAAAATTTTGGCTATAAATTAACATAATTTTAAATTGAACTATAAGAAAATACGGATGAATTGTTTAAGATTTCTTTCTTTCAAAGAAAACAAAATTTATGTCTGAAATAATTAACAATTTGACCAAGAAGTACTTTTCATGAGAGATTTGTTTTTAATTTCAACAATATTTTTTTTTTATGAATATATATGAAAAATAGAAGACTTTTTTACCATCATTATTAAATGTCATCTACTTTTAAGGTTATCCCCTGGTGATTTGCTAAAGGTTGGTTTCATAATAATTCTTTTATCAAGTTTTTCATATCCTTATCTTTCTAATAGAACTAGAAATCTTACAGATGTATATCGGCAAGATCTTAAATATGAATATACTAATAACGGAAACCTTGTGCAAACGTTAAAAAGAATATTTGTTGAAAAGTTCATATTTTATTGTGTGCTACAAGAATATATTTTTATTAATTTACTTTTTCAACTACAGAAAATTTTACAGAATATTAAATATACTTCTTAGTAATTTGAATAAAAATATAATGCATAATAATGTTTTTATGAAATAATTTTATACTACAACAATGAATGAACCAATTTAAGTCTAAGTAGCTATCTTGAACATTAACTGTTCTGTTATAAGAACAACTTGTTATATTTAAAATCTATTAGTTTAAAATGAAAAAAAAACAGATTCCTGTTAAATAAATTATTATAGATATAATTTCGTTTACTATCAATTCTTGTTATTGTATATTTAACGAATGAGTAAAATCAAAATAGAATAGTTCTCTATAGAAAGATTATAATTGTCAATCTATTCGAGATTCATTTATAATAGACATATGAATGTAATGTGTGAATATATATTTATTATTATTATTCGGATAATATGGGTTCGCTTTGACTCCTAGAAACCTTTCTCAACGTTGTTTGCATACATAATAACATATCATTCTATTGATTTCCAACGGCTATAGGTCACATTCAACATTGATGAAGATCTACTTTCCTCCCTATAGTTATCTGACATCTGTCTTTGTTAACATAATATCCAATATTCTTAAAACTGCCGATATGAGATCGATTGAGAACTTGAACCATTTGTTAATTATATGGAAACAGAAATAGGCCAAGAAATAGAGATGATATATTCATCTGAACTGTGCAATACAAATGCAATCAATTCTTACTTCAATGAGATATATACTTAGGGTATACCAAAAGTACGGGCAGTGACACTTTAATACTGTATAGTAGGCTTAAATAACTTTCTTTCTATATAGGCTGATAGAGAAAAAAAAGCTCTATCTTTCTATGCTATTTGATCGTACTTCAACTAATATCAAAATATTAAATTATCTATAAAACCTATTTCGGGTGGTTATGTGCTGGTTGTACAGGGTTGCCAAAAATGTTTTCCCATGAGGTACAACTTCAACGATAAATAATATCAACATTCAATTTTATACCAAATGAAAGCCCGTCAAAAACGGGATTTACTGGTATAACTCGTCATTCTTAAGATGAGAATGGGCTATAGAATTATAGTCAGATTCAAGTGGTTGGACACTCACGTGGGTGGGTAGTGAATCACAAAAACACAAATTTCTCAGAATTTTTTTTGTCTATCAGGCTTTGTAGAGCTCTCTTTGATGATCATTTTGCTAAAAAAAGTCTTTAAATTTGATCAATAAATAATGGTACTAAGGTCAAAATACTCAAAAATATCTGAGCTATATTAACCAGAGGATTTTGAAATTTCCAGTATTTTGACCCTAGCGCCGTTATTTATTGATCACGCTCAAAAGATCTTTTTACCAAAATGATCAGCAAAGAGAGCTCTACAAAGTTTGACAGACAAAAAAGATTTCTAATCGCCCCATGGAAAAACATTATTGGCAAACCTGTACAACCAGCACATAACCAGCCGAAATAAGCTTCATAGATAATTTAATATTTTGATATTAGTTGAAGTACAATCAAATAGCATAGAAAGATAGAGCTTTTTTTTCTCTATCAGCCTATATAGAAAGAAAGTTATTTAAGCCTACTATACGGTATTAAAGGGTCACTTCCGGTACTTTTGGTATGCCCTAAGTATTTGGCATAAAGATTTTATTTTAAATGATGAAACGATATTAAGAGTAACATATAAATTTATATAACATGAATTACGATCACATAATGACTATAATAAATTATTAATGAAAATGATCAACATGAATCAGATCAATAAATAACCTTTCTCATTACTTTATTTTATTACATTAGAAAAGTATGGCACTCTGATAATGCTAACTTTGTTGTTTTGAAGCTTCAACATCGTAAGTGTCGTCATTGAAGCGAGAGATATCTATATGAACTAAATATATGGAGAGGTTCTCTAGCTGTATTATTCATTAATGAATTAGTTAGATATTATGTCCGAGAAAAAGTGACATTGTTAGGAACAAGATCTACAATTTTAAACTTCTATATTCGAAACCTAAGATAGAATATAGTATAGATAAAAAGCAAACTTAACCTACTATTGTATTGTTTCGTAAGGTATTAGTTAAACTTTCATACCTAGAGAACCAATATTGTTCAAGGCAATACTGACTATGCTACATACTATGTTCAATATCCAAAATACCTATGACATCGATAAGCAAAAAAACAATATATTATCATATTATTTTTTACATCATTAGCAAGACATTCTAGCCTCTGATCATCAATCTCGTTGCAGTTAAGATCTAGTATAGTCACTATCTGAAAAATGTCTTATTATATTATTTTGCAATGCATCAGCTAGATGTTGTCACTCCTGATTTCTAATTGTCATTTATTCAGGATTCAATCAATAGACGTTTGAATATCACCAAAACATAAATCTACTCACATTTTTGAGTTTCAGACAGACCATTTGATCCGTTTGTCATAGATAAGCTGAATAGTTGCATGTTAAAATAAGACTCTGTAACCGATACCACATCCTGCAAGTCGCTGCTTAAGTTTTTATACAAAAGCTAAATCTTATGAGCTTGAATTTTTACTAAGAATTGAAATTAAAACAATATCTTATCGGTAGAAACAAATACAAGTTTGCGGACGTGATATGACATCAATATTAGATTAGAATCGTTCAAATGATTTTCTAAACTTTAGTCAAAATAATTATGTCGAAAATAAAAAGCTAGAATTATTGAGAGATATCTGTTAGAAAAAGTATTCATGAAGAATACTGATCTGCTTTTTTTTTGTCATGAAAAAAATATGATCTACTTAGGGGTACCCAAAAGTAATGGCGGAAGTACCTTATTGTCGTATAGAAGGCTTTGGGAGATTTTCTATTTTTATGAAATGATAGAAAAAACAAAACTCTATTTTTCTGTACTATTTCATCCCTATTCATCTGGTACTATAATAATAAAATGTCGATAGAAACTGTTTTTGTTGAAAACTTAACGTACGGATGTGACAAATTATATGGTTACATTTTGTATTTCAATTTTGAATCACTTAATACGTTGCAATAAAAAACAAAATATACCACAAGATGCAGCNTTAAAAATGTCATTTTGTATTACGAATAGATCTATTAAGAAACTTTTAGATTTATCTTACATAATTTTCTTATTTGTTTTTATATATTCTAAATTAACTTTATTGTTAAACAAACAAAAAAACAAAACATTATTCATAACCATAAATTCATCTATGCGGCCTGTCCGCAGGTAGCGCACTCACGTTTTGTCACGTTTCTATTTGAATTTCTCTCTAGCGGTAAAGCGTAAAGCCTTGAAGCTTGGTGCATATATGCACCTTGCAAAACTGTACAACCACTCTAAGTTTCACCTCGATCGGCTTTATTATTCAAATTTTACAAGGAAAATACAGTACAGTAACGCACTCACAAGAAAAGACCCTTTCCTTTCTTAGTGGTATCAGAAATGTTAAGATTTGTGCGAATGGTTCAGTTATTAAGAGATATGATTCATAGAAAGTTTGTAGCAGAAAATTAGGGCTATCTAATGTTAAACAATCTTTTAAAAATATTGTGCTGCTTTAGACCTGTAGTCAAAATACTACGGTAACGCACTCACTTTTTCATATTCTAATCTTTTTTCCTGGTGGACTTGTTGTTTTCTCTCACACTTCAGACGTGTTAAAATAGCTTTCTTCAACTTTGGTAGAAAAATTATATAAGATTTCACAATAAAAAATAGCATACGAAATAGTGTCGTAGAGCTAATGTTTGTGCTTTCATAACTGTTAGTATATCACAAGTACTTTTCCGTTATCTGTTAAATCACTCTTATAATCGATACTGAATAGCATATTTCGTCCAGAAACAAGAATGTATGAATTTTATATCTATTTCTTTGACAAAATATTATTGAAAAATTGTTCTAGTTGAAATATTCATTTATTAAGTTTATATGCCATATTTCAATCGAGTAATGGTTTCGTTTTTCGTTTCATTTTGTCATTTCTTTGCGAAAAAGGAGGAAATAGCCAGTCGAGATTTCTATGAAATATATGATGAAGGTGCAAAATGTAATTCACATGTATCCTCAGTCAACATATCAACCGATCAAATATGAATTGGTGAACTCCTAAGCTCCGACCGTAGGTCTACCTGCCAGATCTGATTTAGCCTAAAGCCTGATACGTGAAGCCAAGAGAAATCATGGCTTGTTGATATCTCTATAAGATAGCAACATTAATAAATCATATTGAAAGCCATTTATTATAGAAGCAATCCATCCCATCAAACATATACCCTATGCGGTTTAAAACATGGAAGTGGATCAGTAAGGTGAGTGCGTTACCATTTTTTTCGGCAGAAAAAATATGTAAGTAAAAACCAACCTAACCATTTGATAGTCCATGGAAAGTTAACGGAAGTTCTTAAGTATCAACTTAAATGCTTATATGATTGTGGCGTAAACTAAACTAAAAGCCCTAATCGGTAACGCACTCACTCCAGATTTGATGAAGTTTTCAGATATTCCTCGTTTTTTTCTACTACTCATAAAGCAGCTGAAAATTATATCAGAAGAAAGTCCAAACTTCGCCATGCGCAATATATATGACGCTTCAATTTTTAGTTAAAATTCTGTTCTTTTTTCAAAAGTTTCTTCAAAAGCACGAAAACGTATAGATATTGCAAGAAGTCTACCTATGTTGTCTGTCGTGCAGCTTTTCTCTACTTTATGAGAAAAAAAGAAACGACTACATTTTCTGCCAGAGCAAAGTGTTCTCTACAACATGATATAGTCAGCCTTGAGAAATAGATAGGTTCTACTTTAATCAGTCTGGTTGACCGTTAGCAGGACGAGCCGTATAATAAAAAAAAATATTTTTATATTGAAAGTAAAAATCTGCAATACGTTCTAATTTAATTAATAAGACGAACCTTTTTTTTTAAATTTTTATTCTTGATAAAAATCCTTCACACATAATAATCATCAGCGGTTAGATCTATATCAAGACCAGATGTTGTTGATGGAAAACGTTTTATATAATTATTTGTTGAATTAAATGGTGGTATAGCTGATGATGATTCAATTGCTTTAATGAACTGTTGAAAATAATCCAAATCCCATTTATTGTCGGCAGCTGATTGCCAATAATCAATTTGATCGAAAAAAAAGACCATTTCGCATAATCTTTCAGATTCAGGTCTTTCATTTACAGTAGAACATGCTACAGAACTAAATAAATCTGGTGTACATGTGTTTGGATTATTGGTAATCTAAAGAAAATATTAAACTGGAATTAAATATATTTATTTCACAACTTTTTTCCATTGTTAAACAAACAATTACAATAAAATGTTAAGATTTCAATTATAGAAGAAAATCTAATAGTAAATACCTGTCTAAGTCTTGTATGACCAAATTCATGAATTGCTATTGTACATATGTCCATTTCAACAACTGATTTTCCAATAGGTGAATCAGGATGATATGTTGTTGAGTATGTTGATATTTGACTACGAATATAAGCTGCATTTATATAAATCTGATTAATTCCACAAAACCCTCGTAAACCAGCTAAGGTACAATCAATTATTTCCACTTGAATATATGGAAGAATATTTGGTAAACATATACCTGTACCATCAGTTGCTAAACTCTTTATAACTTCAATCACCTACAAAAAGAATTTAGGTTCACATGAAAAAATTCAAATAACACAATAATGTTTGAAATGTAGGACAATTATTCTTATGAAGTAAATTATAATCAACAATATTTTTTATTATACGTATTCGTAAATTTCTTATGAAGAAAAAGTATTTGTATCGATCCGATATCATGAAAATCTATGTCATTTCTACACTATAATGGTTAAAGATATTTACTTTTCGCTATTTCATAGAAAAAAAAAGATCATCTGAGCTATCTTTTGAAGACTTGAAACTAGTGGATTATAGTAAATCATAAAATAATCGTCTGAAAATCTTTTAAACATTGATAAAGAATATTTTCGAAAAGTCAATATATTTTGTCTAGAAAGTGATTTTTAAAAGTTCTTTTAGTTATCTTTCTCTTTTCTCCTAATTTTCGGATCATAAAGTACATTGATCTTCTTCAGATAGATATTGATTTTGTGTTCATTTGAATTTTCTTTGACATAATAATTTACTTAAACATTTCTCCAAAATTCCAAATGAAAAGAAAAACAATGAAATTAAATCTTAATTTATTTCTAATACTTTTTCATACAATGTAAGGAAATCTTAGCTAAGATTTGAAATTTTCACTTACAACTGGGTGATTCAATGTTAATGATGCGAGAGTTTTCCATCGATTAAGATGTTCATGTGTATCATCGATTATCATTTCCTTCATTAGTTTCACTTTCACAAACCAAGAACATAATCTTTCGCTTGATAATTTTAGTTTTGTACCATGTAATAATAACATCAATTTAGATTTTGTAATAGAATCAGATATGTCAAATGTACCAATTAAATCGAGTAATAATTTTAATGATGGAATAGGAAACATTTCATTATCATCATGATAATTCAATAAATTTTGAAGTATAACAACTGACATTTAAAAAAAAATTATTAAAAGGAAAATTTTTACAAGTTATTCTCAAAAATCGAATTTACTTAAAATTATCTGGAATATCATCATTACTTATACTAAGTGGTGTAATAAATTTGGCTTTTTCAGGAATATTACTAAGATTAGTTGTTGTCATTGATGCTGGAAGACTATGAATGAATGTTTGAAATTCATGAAATAATTCCATTTTTATTCAATAAACATTAAGAAAATTATCTTGAAATTTTCAAATAATAAATCAAATCAAAAAGCTTCGAAACAAAAATAAAGATCTGAAATGAAAAATTCAGCAAAAACCTCCAAATATTAGCTTCAATATTAAAATTAAGTTGAACTCATTTGACATTGTTTTGCAGTAGTCAGCGGACAAATCAGAATGAGTCATCGAATCAATAGCAAATTTCGAACACACTAATGCACTTAGTAGTGCATTATTTGTACCATTTTTTAAAAGATTTTTCTTCGTGTTATTTTGTTCCTCAAAATGAGCTAGACCTTCTGGTGTAACTAGATTTCTCGGCCTACGAGCCGTTTCCGAGAAAATCGAAGTTTCTGTAGACCAATCGGGTATCAACCAATCAGAATATTCTATAGCTGATGAGCTACGCTTTTTCGGCTATTTCCAGGTGTGTGCCATTTGTTCTTGAAAAAATAAAATCCCAGTTCGGTTCAGCGTATTTTTCTGTATCGATTAGATTACTTTAAAAGTTCGACCCATTCCATGTATTTAAGAGGACACCATAGGTAGTGCATTTGATACTGGTTTGCTTAAAATGTGCTTTTTTTCTGCTCTGTCCGTTGACTATAGGCACAAACGAGTTTATTTTATTTTAAACGTAGGGGAGATATGATTTGTACGCACATTGAATACACAATATCAATGGAATCCGAGATGTCAAAGATGTCGCTGCAATATTGAAGGTGACTTCTGTTCGGTGGTGTAGCCAGAGGGTGACCATTGGGCTATTGCCCGGCAGTTGAAAGGTTATTGCCCAATGAATTTGGAAAAACGTTTTCTTTTGTTCTTCATTTTTGATTTGGTACCCAGTGGAAAATGTTTTGGAAAATAACGCGAGGGAATGCATTCGTCAAGACATGGAAAGCGTTCTAAGTCGAGAAGAATATGTCCTATTTCTGAAGGAAAGCCTTCTTCGCCGTTCCATTATATCATGAAATGCGTTCTTCTTCGTCCTTTTTCAGAACAGTTAGGATAGATTTCTTTTCTAATAAGATAATATTCTTTGACCTTATGTAAAGAGATTCATAAGAATAGATTCTTCGAAGTACTGGCGCGTTCCCAGACAATGAAACATCATTCTTACAAAGAAAAGAACGCGTTCTGTGTTGTGATCAAAATTACCTGATGCTTTCTTGTGGATTAAGAATTGGTCTTCGAAAAATAGAATACATCCGCAACAATTTTGTTTTGCAAATTAAAGAAAAAGATTAAGTTAGCAAAAGCAAACCGAAAATATTTATTTGATGAGGAGATTCACCGATGAACAGAAAGTATAAAATTGTGTGGTTGCTTCAGATCTTTAAGTGATAGTTAAAATAGTCTGAACAGTATCTTTCCATTAAGCACTCAATCAAAAGAAAATTATAAATTATTTTCTTTCCTCTTTTCCTTTTTTTTGAAAAATAAATATATAATTTATAGTTTATTCTTGATCTTAATGTTTTGAAAAATAAAAAATGCCGGTTTTCATGTACTAATACTTTTTTCGCATAGATTCATTTTTTAAAATACACATATCTACGAATAAAAATAAAACTATAATTTGGATGCAATTAAAATCAAGAAAGAACTAAAAATAAATTGAAGGAAAATATAAAACTAAGAAAAATCAAATTCAATTAGTTTTTGATTTAAAAGGAAAGATACTTTTTAAATATAAAAATATTATAACTTTCTATTCACACTTTTTCCATACTAACTTATTATCACATGAACACAATGAAAATCCTAGTTACAATAAATTGTCTGCTCTATTAAAAACAAGCATTTGATTCTAAAAAAAACTAAAATAGTCTACTGTTCCGTTCAATATAAGTAGTATTTTTGTTCTACAGTCAGACTGTAGAAATAGTGCAGCGGATAACAAGTTCGTCTCGCAAACACCAGATCCTGAGTTCGAATCTATGGCATGGTACCCATTTAAAAAAGTTAATTAAAAAGAAGACGAAATGGATGACAGAAGGAATAGCTCCTGAGAAGTCTACAGATGAGATTACGACAGAAAGTAGACTGACGTAAGTGGAAAACATTTTTTTGCAAGTATTCGTTTTTTAGGGATAGCTAGGAATATTTTTATAGAACAGTGGAACGCATTTTCTATCATTTTCAGTAGGAAAGAATAATAATGCGTTCCAAAACAGTGGAAATCTTTCTTTAGCATAGAAAGCCATTCTTGAAGAATGTGGAACGCGTTCTTGTCCGTTATTTGAAGCAAATATTTTTCACTGGGTAATAGATCGGAAAAATAAACTTTTATAGCCCAAATGATTTTAAATTGCTCATTGTTGCCCGATTCGCAAAATAATTCCGCTGGAAAATGACCCTTGGCTCACAAATTCCTGGCTACGCCACTGCTTCTGTCTTTGTCAACAGACAGTCATGACTATGCTTTTTGTTCAATTCTTATCGAGCTATCATATAATTAAAAATATGATCATCTATTACTGAAGACCATTTTAGAATGTAAACGTTAGTGTTTCTTTTTTATGTTGACTTAGATAAATATTTCTTCTATTTTGAAAACGAAATTGAAATAAAAAAAGTATCCAATATACTTTAGGCTTCGACAACAACTGATTTACCTTATCATGGACAAATAAATTTGCATGTTTTACCAAAAGAAAAATTGAAGAACTTTTTTGCTTATGAAATTCTTGCTCTTCATAATAATCACTCGGCACTAATTTTTATTTCGTTTCTATTCTTAATCTATATTAATGTGAAAAAGAGTGAATAGAATGCTATTGATACAAAATATTTTTATATATAAACAAGACAAAGCATTGATTCATGAGATATTGTGAGAAACTTCTAAATTATTACATAAAATGTCATCTTTAAGTGGATGTCAAGATTATTATACACGAACTCTATTGATTCTATTCTGGTTGCAATATATATCACGACAGAATAGGGTAACAAAGGTTACCTTTAGGAAACTCTCTTAATTAGACAGGTTAGAGAAGTGAGAAATGATCTCAATAGGCCTCGGCGTGATCGTCGTGACTCACAGCAGTCACGGTCACGATCATGGTCACGGGAGCTTTTTCAAAATTTTGAAAACCCCTGAGAGGGAGTAGGAAGATCTTCGCGAAGCTACTCCTCATTTGGTCATCGGTTTTTATGAAAAATTGGGAAGTTTCTCGTATTTGTTCTTTTGGAAACCCCTTGGGAGAAGTACGGCAGCTCCGCGAAGCGACCCTCCCCCCGATTATCACTTTTAATAGTAAATAGAATTCTAATCTTGATCCCGTTCATTTTTTGGAAATTTCGTAAGGATCTGTGAGGATCCTGAAAGTTCAAAGTCTTGCCAAGTTGTTCTCAGGGTGGGTGTGAGAAGAAGAGGAAAACATTCACACCGGAACCAACTTCCACACTCGCAGCACACAACATGCATCGCTGTGTGAGTGTATAGGGAACAAACGTATACAAGGGAGAAGTTACACGAATACAAAAAATATGAATTTCAAGTTTTGCTAACTTCCAAGATTTTATTTTCAATCTAAAACGCACGCTACCCAAAACAAAATAGCACAAAAAAGCCCAATAAAAAGAGAGTGTTATTTTCATTCTTGTCAGTACACACAGAACAACTCTCTTCACCTCTTCTCCTCACTTCCAAGCAAAAGTTGTGCCTTGGTCGACCGATCGAACATAACGTAAACAAGGAGCATTATTTATCAGACTTCTGTTCGCCTCTTTGACTCACTTCGGCACAAAGCTTCCGACTCGGTCAGCTGATCGAAGACCACACGCACCAGGAGCATCGTTTAGCACACTTGTGGTCACCTCTTCTTCTCAGTTCTAAGCAAAGGTTGCCGCTTCATCAGCTAATCGGAGATCACATGGACAAGGAGCATTGTTTACCTGTTTACTTTTCGTGTATTTTGCTCACATCCTAGCAAAAGTTGCCACTCCGTCAGCTCAACCGACATCACATGAAATAGGAACATTACTCACAAGACAAACACTCTCGTCTTATCGTCACCTCAAAGCAAACGTTGCGACTCAGTCATCTGATCGAACATTATCTAGATCACGAACATTCCGTATCAGACTTCTGTTCAGCGCTGTTAGTCTATTCCAAGGAAAGGTTGCGACTAGCTCAACTGATCCAAGAACACATGAACCAAGCATCTTACTCACAAAAGTTTTATTCACATCTTTTGTTTCCATCGCAGGAAAAGTTCCGACTCGGTCAGCTCATCCAAGATCACATGGACAAGGAATACTACTCAAAAGACTTGTGTTAAACACTTTTAGTCAATTCGAACGAAGGTTGCGACTCTCTCAGCAGCTGGAAAATCACATGAACATGGAAGATTCTTTATCAGACTTCCTTTCACTTTTTTTACACAATTCGACGCAAACATTGCAACTCGGTCAATTCATCAAAGATCAAATGAACCAGGAACATTATTAATGATACTTGTCTTCACCTCTTCTGTTCACTTCGAAGCAAAGATTGCGACTTGGTCAGCTCATCCAAAATCATACGGACAAGGAGCATTGTTTAGCACA